TCATTTGAGTTGTATTTAAGGAGGTTAATATGACAATTTTGCTGGTGATGACACTCTTTAGGTGGAGTTCAAAGATAAAATTCCATATGGTAAGCAAAAGTATTAAATTGTCATACTGTTCCCCATCCCAATTCCAAACTGCCCACCATATACTCGAGAGAACAACAAAGAAGGGCTTGGCAATGGTTCTACCGTAGTTTAGAGAAATTGTTAAATACCCTGTTAGTCAAGATTTAGAATAAACTTAAAAATAATGACCCAATAACAGTGCCATTACCAAGCAAGTATAAATATTTGTTGAGTTAAATTACTGAATTAAATGATACTGAAAATTATAGGCATTTGGAGAGACATTTTAACTTGCAAACTAAATTTCTAATCATTTCCCCATTTGCTATCAAAAAATAAAAGTGAGAATCAGAGAAGAAACTGCTCATGAACCACTCACTAGTTAAAACTGACTTCTAAGGGAGCCCTCAGAATCTCTATTCAAGAAAAGACCTACAAAAATTGAAGGAGTAATGAGACAATAGCTGAGGATCTCAGAACTCAGCCCCAAATTTATTCTGACCCTGGATAAGTCCTGTTTCCCATGCATTCCTCGATTTATTCACCCTTATAATGGGGACAGGAGAAGCAGTTTTGAATAACTGCTAATAAAAGCCTGTTTGCCTCTGGCAGAAATGCAAATGCTTGTTCATAATGATCATTTTTCCTAAATGCAAGTTTACATTTCTCCATTAACATTCCAATGCCTGACTCTCAGTTCCCAAGATCCTATGGGTTTTGGTCTCTGACTAAAAGACAGCCAAGTTTGGGGAAACACTGGAGCCAATTCCTTGAAGCAGTAACCAGCTCCCTAACTCCCAAAGAAGTCATTATACACGTCCACACCTCATTTCATTTTTCACTGCGATGACACCCAATCTTTGTGATAAAAATGAACCCAAGGACACCACCCCAAAGAACTTGTTTCTCTTGGACCCACCAAAGGATAAAATGTTCTCAACGCCACCTCCTAAGATAAACACCCTTCCCCAGATGCCCCTTTTAATTGGCTGGTTGACTGTTCCTTGGGTGTGACTGCACAGATTTATCCCGGGTGTGTAATCAAGTTGGAAAAGTCTTCCTGATTTCTGAGTACTCTAACAAGAAAGAGTGCATAGCATGGACTGAAACTGTTTAAGCACCAGATGTGACCCTAGTACTTTGCAACAAAGTATCTTCTATTTGGGGAGACTGGTCTATGATCCCAGCTCTACAATTCCAGTCAGCTATATAATAAGACTGGCCAATAAAGGTCACAGAGAGATTCAACAGAACCATTCTGCCAGAAAAGGAGAAAAGAATTAGACTACGGTTTTAGTGGAATAATGAAAAGTCATGTACTGGTCACAGGTTGTAAAATGTCCACATATCTATATTCACTTCCCCCCAAACATGCATGTGCAAGTCTAGGGTAGTTCTAGGTTATAATATAAATTATAATAAATTATAAGTAATTAGCACAGTAGGTTGATTTCTCAGTATCCTCACATGAAAGCTCTTAGCGTAAATTGTTACATCCCTTTTTGTGTGAAGCAAGTTATTCATTTTTTCCAAACACCCCTCAAATTTAGAAACTGCCTATTTCTAAAGATCGGACTGAAAGAAATCCTTCAAAAGTTACTGTGCTGACACCCCTGCAATCTATTCCATCCTGAGAAGCTGAGTTTCTTCGAGTGACTCTTCCCTCCACCAAGAAACATAAATCACAGCCAGAAAAATCAAACAATGCACTCGAGAGTTAAATAGTATTTATGATATTGTAAACTGCACCTCATTTTTGGCCGTCAGTCACTGTCAATTTTCTAATGTTTACTAGCAATTGTTACTGATTTCCAAATGGCAATATATTTCCATTCTGAATGGGGGTTACTGTTATCAGATTTAAAAACAAGACCAACATGTTATATACTAAATTAATTCTAAACATATTCTACATCTCATCGATGGTCTGAATAACAAACCTGTCTTCTAACGAGGCTCTCTTCGGGCTTAGTTTTTAGATTTTATTTTAAATTTAATGATAAATGTTCCTTTAGTTTGGCTTGGAAGAAAAGAATTCCCCTTTCTCAAAGTCTATTATGCGACTTAGGAGATCTATTGGAAACTTAAATAAATTTAGAAACAGCTTTCTAAGACTAAAATTACCACATTTATAGTAAGGGCGGGCCTGTAAAATAAAGAATAATTTTTTTTGAAGATGAGTATTCCATCAGGGTTAGAGTGTCTAATAATAATAAATTACTTAATAAATTACTGTCAGGTGTTTACCTGCCTGATGAAAAATGTTTCCATTTCTCCATTTACCTGAATCCATGTTTTTCTGCCTGAGGAGATTCATAAATTGACTTTTGAATTACTAAATCTAAACAACATGGACTGCTTTACTATGTACAGGCTTTTTAAATGCTGTAGTTTTCTTTCCACCCCAATTTCATGTATTTAATGTGCAGGCTGGTAACTTTTTTAACTTAGTTTTCATTATTTTACCTTACAAGTTTCACTTGTTAGTTATTTAAATTTTAAAACAGCAAACCAAGGATGAGAAAGTCCAGTAATTTTAATTCCAATTTATGTCTTTCATTTGATTTGAACTTTTTGTATGCATTGGTTCCACCAAAAGTGCTAAATAGTTATCACTAGCCAGCAAAAAAAAAAATTATGGTTTCATTATGGATGATGGATTCCAGAACTGATTGTTTTTTTTTAATTAATAAAAAAAAGACTAAGTTCATCCAATGTAAGATTTTGATCCTGAACATAACTGTTAAAAGCAACAAAAATGCTTTGAAAGTATGGTATTTGCAAAACCTTTGCGAAGTCACTAATGGGATTCCCATGATCTAATACATGTAAGGCTTTAACTGTAATCGTAAACCCACTGAAAGCTTAGGATCTGAAAGTGTGGACTATTGTAGCCAGTTTTATGGGTTTAATTCCACTGGCAAATCCCAGTTTCTGTATTTTGAATCTCAACTAGAGCAAAATCACAACACATTTTCAAAAGAACAATGTAAAGAAAGCAAGCGCTGGAATGAGGGCAAGAAAACCACTGCCAACAACCACATTCTCCCACAAACTATCAATGAACTTCAAAAGCACAAGGCTAAGCAAAACTCTTAGTTCATGGTATATATGCAGTTCACTTTTAATGCTCATAAAACATCACATGAATCATTTTCTTTTCCTCTGATTTATTTCCCATACAAGGTTCAATAAAACAGAACTTACTCAGCCTCGACTGATGACTGGATCACTGTTTTTGGAAGCTATTTATTACTCCTTTTCTGGCATGTTTTCTTCTATGATCCAATTCCGTGACTGCTAAAAGCCAGGAAAAGCTGCCTTCAAATCAACTCATGGCACAAAGTCACTAAAAAAATTGCTGGCACTATGCTCTACCTTAGTGTTCAGAAGTTGTTCTGTTTCGTCCTAGAAATCTCCAAGTATATAATCTTTGTAGGGTGCATTGAGATTTGTGATTAAAATAGATCCTCTCTTTTTCCTCAAAGAGATTTGAGTTATTGTAGCAAACAATTACTTATGCTCACAAGATTCAGCCTACCTCACCTATCCAATATATATGTAAACTATTCATCCAGGGTTTATACACGGCAGACACGTGTAAAAATATCATCAAGAATATCTACCTTGTTTCTAAAATTTCTTACTTGTTTCATATATATATTTCTTGGTTTTTAAAATTCAGTATTACAAGTCTTGTTATGGGCTATCAGGCCAAATTCCACCTAACAGACAAAATTTATTTTACAAAGGCATAATTGAATATAGTATTGATTTTATAACCAAATACATGTAGGAACAGCTTGATTTTAAAAGAACTTTACTGTATAGATTTACACACATATTTACTGATTGTCCTACAGGGACTATCAATGGAACCAACAGAAAATATAGGATTCCAAGCATTGTGCACTAGCAGCTCTTGGCCTGAATGTTCTATAAATGTTTTTCAAAAACAATGCTACCTTTTCACTTCACTTTTTCAATGTAAGTATAATTAATGTATTTCATGCCACCCATGCAACAAACATAACCTCAAAGATTCTTTTGGTTTGAAAATACTAAATTTTTACCTTGAGTTGAAAGCACAGTCAAAAACTGTGATAAAAATTGCTTCAACTTTTTGTTTTATTGTGGGGTTTTTTTTGTTTTCTTTTGTTTTGCTATACCTACATTTGGATAGCCTAAATCCTCTCTTAAAGGACTCAAAGTTTTTTTTAAATACCTTTGGATTTTCTGTATAAACCTATAACTTTTTAATATATTAAGTGCTCTCTATCTTTACTATTGATTGGTCTTAGCTCTTGTAGAGAAAGGAAACCAGATTTGAGGAATGTTTTTATTGTTATCATTGTTGCTTTTCAGTCACTTAAAACTAACAGGGGTTGATGTCCTCTGCTTTCACCACCACCGACATATTCCAGAACTATATAATATTTCCTCAAAAGGAGTTCCTTTATAAGGAAAATACAGGATTTTGTTGAGAACCTCAGGATACCGATTTACTTGTAAAATTCCCAGTGGAGGCGGAAAGAGGTTGGAGTTAACTCAAAGTGAGAAGCAACACCACTTACTGAAACGATTTAGGCGCTGAACCAGGGTCAAGGGTTTGAACTTTCTGACTGAGAACGATAGCGGCGCTGGGAAGGAGGGAGCGTCTTCCTGCTCCCTCAACCTGCACGTGGGGCTCGCTGACTTCCCTTCGTTTCCAAACTGGAGATCGACACCTTGATGGAGATCGACACAGATCGACACAGGCTGCAGAAGTCTGTGCAACGCCAGCCGCTGACGAATTTAGTTTCCTGCGGGGCACGGGAGAGGACTCCCAGGGGCCCTTCCTCTCCCCCTCAGATGGGAGGACAGAGGCTGTAAAGCGCCCGACACGGACGTGAGAGCCATCGCACCCCACCATTCCCCCAGAAGGACCTTACCGGTACAGGAATGCAGGGGCTTGGGTCGCACGATCAACGACGGGCACACGGAATAGAGGGAAAGTTTCTCAAAGTAGTCGCAGGTCTCCTTAGAGAGGATTTCGTCGATCATGAAAGTCTTGTAGCGCCGCCTGGCTGCTTTGAGCTGGCCGGGCGAGCTCAGTCTCAGCTCCGCGTGGCAGTGCATGGTGAGCCGGGGCAGCAGGGGCTGGCGTGCCGGTGAGGTCTCTGCCCCGCGCCTTGGCAGCGGGGGGAGGCGGCAGAGCCCTGGAGGGGCGCGGAGGGGAGCGGGCACCCGGTGCGCGGGCCGCACGTCTAGACCCACCCGCAGATCAGCATCTTCGCCGCGCCTTTTTGGGACAGCGCAGCTGTCAATCAGCCCGGTGCGGAGTCGCGCCGAGGGGCGTCGGCGCCCAGCCCGCCTGTGCCACCCGGGCGCGGGCTTGCGCGCCGCGTGCCCGCCGCTCTCCTCGCCTCCTCCCTCCTGTCGGCGTTTAGCGCTCCTCCGCCTGTCTCTCTATTTTAAGACACTCGCTTCAGCTCTCCTCCCCGCCCCCCTCCTGGGACGAGCTCCAGGTGTGTTTTTGTCGAGTGTGCGCGCTCGGGTGTGCGCGCGATACGGAGAGCGCGCGCCGCCCCGCCCGTGGGCCTGGCCTCCGCCGGCCGCTGCTTCGGGCTGGTCCCCGCGCACCTCCTTCGCGCGCGTCTCACCACCCTCCCGGCCCCGCTCCCGGCGCCCGCAACCCAGCGTCTAGGTCTCTGAGTAGAAGTCGAGGCCTCACCAAGGCTCCCGAGGTGGCGGGCCATAGAGCTGGCGTCCCTGGTACCTGCCGCCTCAGTGTACCTTTCCCCTTCCCCGCGTGGACCCCCCGGCCGTTCCTGGAGGCCTGCGGCCACCCTCCCGGTTCCCTACGCACGCAGCCCAGCCCGCGCGCGCGGAGCATGGGGAGTTAGCGCCGATAGCAAACTTCACTGCCCCTGGGATATCCCAAAACATGCATGACCCTTGGCCTGTCCGTTATCCCAGTAATAAACTGTAAAAAAAAAAAAAAAGTAACCAACAAAAACGTGTGTTCTCTTTGTATTTTTAAACTCTGTTTATAAACTTTTTCAGTCGCTGAAAGGGCCATCACAGCGCGATATCCAGGCGCCTGCGAGCCCTTCGTTCGCTGGCAGTGCGTTCGCGGCATCTGGGAGCGACTGACACTCCCCGCAACGCGGCTTTGGTACCCAGTCCCTCGCCTCGCGCAGGGTTCGGGGAGCCGCGAAGACACGTGTTTATTAGGCGGTTGACCTTCGTCCTCCCGGCGCCTGCTATCAGAGGCCGTTCCAATCCATATCTTTAGGAACTTTTGTTTTCAGTTGGAACCGTTCGTTGGGCGAGGGGACCACCGCCCAGCATCCACGCCGGGGCGGCTCCCACTGCTCAGGTCCTGCCACCGCGCCGGCGGTCAGCCAACACCGCCCGGAGCGCCGGGTTCCCACGATTTGTCTCCGATTTGGTGTGCGTGGGGCCGAAAGGAAAACGTGTAATAGGGAAATTAATTAAATACGAAGATGGCCTTCTCCGAGACCGAGTTTGGAGCTGATGACATTTCCTTACTCGAAATCTAGAAGAGGCCCGAGTCACCACAGGCTCGCCCAGGAGCCCAAGTCGCCGCGGAAGTAAGTCGACCCGCACGCCTGGGCCGGCGGTTGGACTCAGAGGCAAGGGACACAACTGGGGCAATCATCATTAGGTGCTTGGAAAAAATAGATAGTAACAAACCAAATCAGAGCCAAGCATCAGACACGGCCCTCAAGGAAACTTGGAGAAATTTCATTCCCAAAGTGTGTGTGTGTCCTGGCGCCCCTCTGTCCCCTCCTCTCCATTTACATTCGTTTTCCTTTATTCTCTTAATCCACGCAGAGGCGGCTCCAAGGCCCGCCAGAACTGCGGCCAGGTGTCCAGGCGGCGGTGCGCGTTGCGCCGCAAGGCCGGGAGGTCGCCGAGCTGGGCCCCGAAGCGCCTCCGGCTCTGGTGGCCGGTCCCCGCGGCCCGTCCGCTGTTCCGCGTGGAGCCAAGAACCGCTCTCCGCTCAGCCCGGGGCTCGCCGCCCCGCGCCAAGACTGAGGCGGTTCTCCAGAGCGAGGGCGGAGCAGGGGCCGGCTGCGCCACGAGCCGGAGAGGGGTCCCAGGGGCGCGGTATTAGCGCCGAGGACAGCCTTGGGTGGGGAGTTACATTGGCCCCTTGGAAAGTGCGGGCCTGTCGGCAGCGGCCGAGAAACGAGTGTTTGGCGGGATTTGAGAGCGGCGTGGCCAGGGGCGACCCCACCAGCAGCGCGAACTACGGGGTGGGCTCGAGCGCTCGTGGTCCAGCGCCTGGACTACAGCCTCTCCATTCCACCAAAAGATTCTAGCGAGGGACTGAGCGTTACCTGTTAGGACTGTCATGCCCCGCCGTGCGCTCGCAGAATGTGCGCGCTCCTAGCTACTCTCGGGAGCCCTGCTTTTGCACTGTCCTTCTTTTCCTCAACCTCTTTCTTCATCATGCACTTATTTTACCCTCTCGGGCGCTTCCCTTTCCTTTAACCGCCGCTAACTCCTTACCTCTTCTCCCTCCCATTTCTTCCTTTCTCCCACTGTTCGCAGCACTTTCGCCCTCCTCTCCTCTATGCAACTTTCCCCCTCCCAGTCTCTGCAGCCTTCTGCCCTCGCTTCTCTTCTCATAGTCTAGCCCCGTTTTTATCTTTTTTTCCCTTCTCTTCCTTTCCTTGCTCCTCCTCTTACTCTTCTTGCCTCTCTTCAAACCCGGCTCTGGAGCCACGCTCCTGGGTCCCTGCGCAGCGGCGCGCTCCCACACGGAAGGCTGCGGGCAACTCACAGGAAGAAACAGCGCAGAGGCACCAGCCTCCAGGCCAGGCTTGAATTCGCCTCGCCTCTGCCGGCGGGCAGCGCCCTCCAGCCGTCTCCCACCTCCCCCCTTCCACTCGACCATTGGCACAAAAGTCGCCAAGAATCTCCGGCTGACTGGTCGTTTGATTTGAAATCCTTGGATTTTCCATCTTTTCTATTTTCTACTACAGAGGCAAACTACCTCAGAGGGAGGGGGTCTGGGGCACAAGTCCCCAGGTGTAATGGGGAAAGGGATTCCAGATCTTGAAGTCTGGAGTCTTCAACCTCGTTGTCGTTTATAATCAAAGCTGAGCTTCAGTTTTTCATTTGTAAATGTAATCATAATACCTACTTCACAAGGTTGGCCTTTCATAATCCATGCCTTTACACAAGCTGTTCCCTTTATAGGAATGCCTTCCCGCACCCCAGCCCCTCCTTCCCACTGGGCCAGAAAAACTAGTTCAAGACCCTTCTCAAATGTCACCTCCTCTGTGAAACGTTTCCCCACTCCTCAAGGCTGTGATTTCTACCTCGGTCTTAGTGGTTCCTTTACTATCTCAATGTTTTTTTTGCATGTTTATTTCACCCACTGGGCAATGAACTCCTGGGGGGCCAATTCCTTGTGTGTTAGTATCCCTCTTGTATCACCAATACCAGCATACACCTGGCACAAAGTAGGTTGTCAGGAAATGTGTCATGAATTAATGAATGCATGAAAGCTGGGATAATCATATCGTGTGTGAAAGGCCCAGGCAAGCGATGGGACTTCAAATCTTAAGTAGTTGCACTGAATTTGTCTTTCTCCTTAAATGTGTCTCTCTTCTCCTTCCTTGATATTTTTGGTGTTTTAGCAACATTATCTGGCCCAATTCTCATTTTGTTCCATCTCCCTCTCTCCTGCTCTCAGGCTGTAAAGGGCTTCTGTGTGAGGAAGCACACCCCAGCTGTCAATCACTACGTGGGGCTTTGGTCAGGAAGAGTCAGGGGTTTAGTTTCCAACATTAATGAAGTGGCTGAAACAGCAAACATCTGCCAAAAAGACTCAAACCTTTCCAGCTGCTGGAGACCCGCAAACATTTTCCAGCCTCCTATGATTGTACAGGGGCAGCGTCTGCCCCTGTATTGGAGAGGAACACACACAGAGAGGAACAGTGCTGTCTGCACCCAGCCGCTTAGGCAGGTATTGAAGGGGATAAAAATTCACACACTCCAGCAGGCTTCAGGAGATCAGGCAGCTCCCCTCCCCAGTCTGGCACCTGATTCCAGGAGAGAGGGCCAAGCCAGAAAGAAGGGGGCAAGGACACCTTTGCAAATGTTAGGATACTCTGACAACTACGAGAAACCAAAGAATCCTTGTTTCCCATTTCAGCTCACGCCCAGTAACCCCACTCAACTAGAACATAAAATTTAATAAAGTGGTTTTAAAAAACCCTAGAGTGGCATTCGAATTGTACCTATTGTATCTAAGCCTAGGACAACTCAGCCTGATTTTTAATTTAACTATCCTTTTACAATCTTGGGCTATTCGTCCATGTAGATATTCAGAAGCAACCAGGACATAAGTCTTTATACACTAATTCATTCCCAACCATCTTTTTTTCAAAAGGGGGGAGGGGGAACAAAGGGACTTCTTACATTCTAGTAAAGTGTGCTTAATAACTTGTATTTCAGTCGCTAAGTTTTGAAATAGTTTCAGACGTGCAAAAGCAAAATAGGGGAAGCCTTGTAAGTTAATATTCCCCTGGGCCCCAAGGCCCATGCCAAAACTGCTGTATGCGGAGCCGGGCACAGCAGCCTTACATAACAAAATGTTAAAGGAGGTGTACACGGAGGCCAGCTTATTTTTAATGATGATATTAATTTACAAAAACTGCTCTCCTACATTGTAAAGCATCTTTTTAAGAGAGGGCACAAATGCAGCCCACTTGACAAATGGGCTTGGAAAGGTCTAGATAGGTCCTTGTATCCTTTCTCACATCTTTCTGGAGGAAAAGTGTAAACTGGAAAAAATAAGACAATGGCTATATATACAGAGTGCTGAACATTTACGTGAAGAGTGAAAATGCAGTAAAACATTTGAATGTTTCCAAATTTTTAGAAGCTTGTTATACAGATTAGAATTGTTGGCTTTACTGATCATTTCCTTTTTTAAATTGTGCTATCCTGACATCAAACAGCCCTATTTCTGCAAATAGCCTGCATGCCTCAATTATCCCAAAGATATAGCCTGGAAAATAAAATTTAATCTCTCCTATCTTTGTCATAATGTTGTAAAAATAGATATGGAAGTATGGAGTAACATTGGTTTTGACTTTTTTTTCA